ACAAGTGTTTTAAATAATGGAGTAAAATTATTGAAATGTTAAAATTATATCCAAAAGAGAACATCATAGTACTTATAGTATAAATGACACATAAAAGAAAATATTCCCTTGTTAATATGGATGTTAAAAGAGGGAAAAGAATAATTAAAAACTTCATGTTTAATGGAGGCCTTTTCTCTCTAATGAGCATTTACATTTCATGTCTAGTAACGTTGACCAACGATACCGCAGTGCTGCCTGCTTATATCTTGGACACTGTGATTCGGACCATACTTTCGACGCTATAAACGCCACCTGTTGGTCTTATTCCACAGTGTAAGCTCCCCAGTTCTTTAATGATTCTAGGTAGATCTATATCAAGAATGTGAAATATTTACAAGGACTATTATTAGATAACAACTTTACAACAAAGAACTATCATCAACATTATGATCAACAACAACAAATGTTTAATACGTTATAATGAATACTCTAGTCGGTGGGTAGATGAGAAAACACATGCTATTTACAGTGAAGAACGTCGAAAATATGCTGACAAGCTGGACAGAAAGTTCAAGAATCTTATCAATGTGGAAACTTATACGGACGATAAGGATAAAGAAGCTAATACGACCATCTAATGAATTAACCTCTTGCTCTAGATATCGACACCCTTTTAGCAAGAGTTTCAGGTTTTGTTGTTTCACATATTGTCATCATTACAGCAAACATTTTGTAAAATTTGTGTTAAAGTTATAGTGAGTATGAATAAACTGGGGATAATTTGAATAATTAACCACTCAAAGAAAACTAAACAGGATTCATTGAGTGAGGAAGACCCAAGTGTTAACTGGTACACTAAAAATACATCTAGGTTTTGCTCAATAACAATATTTTAAAATTACGTTTGATCGGCCACGTTCTTGACCACCAAAAGTAGATGAAAACTTTGATATTAAATGTAATAACCTTAGGAATAAAGTATATTATGTGTTGGTTACATCTAGAGATAACCTGTACAATTTCAGAGGAAAAAGCTTTGAAAACTGTAAAAAATGATGACAGCTTAATTGTCAAGGTGTTAAATAAAGGTAAGGGTTTTGTGATTATGAGTAGAGATGCGCAAGTTTAAAAGATAACCTAAATAAGAAAATCAACCACAAATAAAAACTACAGCAATATCCCACTACTAACACTGAGAAAATAAATATTAGACATGCTCTAATTTTTCTATTGTTTTAAGTACAATATAATATTCTTATAATAATAGTGTTTTGCATGCTGTCATGAAACTACGCCTTTTTCCTTGCCGCGTGGACTTGAATTATATAAATAGCTATATGTAAGCCTAATAATTCAGTTTGTATGTACCCTGTGACTTAAATAAATTATAATTTTTCATTATCTGGAGTAATAGATTAGTTGTATTATCACTAACTGGAAAAGCTCTCCAGTTTGCACTACAATCTTTTAAACACCCAGAGTCAGGAAAAGAAGAAAACGATAACAAGATTTCCTAATCTTCTAAAAATAACAACTTCAAGATAAATATAACTTGTTTTAATATATTTCTTTTAAACTAACTTGCACGTACGATACACTGGTGTGACAAACTCTGTAAGGGTTAATGTAATTTTACTGTATAAGAAAATCGATAACAGATAATATTAAACGTACAGGGCACAACGAGTAATAACATAAACATCCAACCTTATAACTAAAAGAGGGAATCAAGAAAGAATGGTAATATAAGTGTAAATCTTTATTTCACATTACTGTATTATAACATATTTACAGTTTTCTGACTAGTGTACTCATTCTGTGATATACCATTATTGAAAATCTCACTTATATCTTCCGTGCTTATTACCTTGAACTATAGAGCATACAGTTAACATAAGACTAGACGAAAGAAGTACAATTTCATTATTTTAATAAAACTGTGAAAGGAAATACTAGATTTTAGTACAAAAAATATAAAAATTTAAGTTCTCTTCTATCTAGGTTTCCAGACTTTCTCTATTCTACAATCAAACTCAAAACAAATATCTCATTCGCTAGATGGTTATACGCTGACAAATGTCCAGAACTGGTCAAAAGTGCATATTGCACGGGATACTTCTGCTCAAAACTTGTTATTTTGGCTGGAACTCTAACGTTTATTAGTCGTTAGCAAAATCTCGCTGGGACAATTTACGTTTTAGAGTTCAGAGTCAAAACCGAACAAAGGTTTGTTTAGTGGCCTTCGAAAAACATTTGGTAAGCTATCTAGCTCTACTTTAGTAACATGGATTTACTTTGCGGTATTTTCAACCACAACAGATTAGGCTCATTGATTTCATCTTAGTTTTAGAGGTTAATACTAAACAATTTTAATAATTAAATACAAGTGCACTTAATGAAATTTTTTGGCTATACCTTAGCTTCTTAAACTGACATTGCAGTGTTTTAGTCACATAAGAAAGAGTTGGTTAACTCCTACTGTTTTATACACAGGTCAGCTTTATTTAGGTATAGTTTAAGAAAGAGTTAGGTAGCTTCTACTGTTTTAGATAAAGGACAGACTTGTTTAGGTATCATTTGTTTAAAAACAGTAGGAATTAACCAGCTCTTTCTTAAACTATACCAGAACAAGTCTGTCCTTTATCTAAAACAGTAGAAGCTACTCAACTCTTTCTTAAACTATACCAGAACAAGGCTGTCCTTTATCTAAAACAGTAGAAGCTACTCAACTCTTTCTTAGACTATACCAGAACAAGTCTGTCCTTTACCTGAAAAAGTAGAAGCAACCACCTCTTTCTTAGACTATACCAGAACAAGTCTGTCATTTACCTGAAAAAGTAGGAGCTACCCAAATCTTTCTTAAACTTCATATTTGTTTAGGTATAGTCTAAAAAAGGTAAACAATAACTTATTTTTAACAAAGAATACTTTGCTTTCTCTAACTCAGTTTCACATATATACATTTCACTGTTTTTAATCACAGATGGTAATTTTTTAGATATGTCATAATTTCAGGATTTTGCAAGGACTAATTTTAAGCACTTAATACATAATTCGGTTAGATATACAAACTAAAGTGAAGGAGTCGAATATTAAAGTGTGCCCTGCAGGAATAACAACTTTTTAGCTATATAATAGTTTTAGGGATTTATTGTGTAGTGACTTTATTCATTGCTCAATTAGCTTGTTTAGTTCTACTTCAGTTTTAGGATCTTATGTTAAACGTTGTAACCATATAAAACCGTTGTGCCTGTATACACTAGTTACGAGGATTTATTCAGTTTTAAGCCATAAACCCTAGAAAACAGTTTTATGAAGTTTAGTTTTATCCTAGTACAGATTGTATTTTTCTTGCCACGAAAGACTTTTGGTTAGTTCTTGTGGTACTTTTATAGTTTATCTATTTATTTTTCACGTTATATATATTTTTCCCTCACCTCGGACTTACATCCGAATTCTGTCGCGTGCTAAATTTGTGTGCTACCAATTGAGCTAAAAGACTGGCCTACTAGGGTTTGCTTTTAAGGCATTTTCACTACTCAACTTACTACATTTTATCTAAGTTTCAGATATGCACATTGCAGAGTTTATGCCAAGAAAATTTTTCTCTAGCTCTGTCTTAGTTTCAGAAATGCACATTAGAGGGTTTTTTTTTGCCACAAAAACTTTGTTAATCTCTGGCTTTCAAAGATACATACTGCAGTTTTTTTTTGACAGAGAAAAAGTAATGTAAAAATTAATAAACCGAGTAAACAGTGTTCTTTGCACACTATTACGTTACTACATATTTTGATTGCAATAGGTTAGAAACATATTCAACACAGTTAAATATTTTTAACCCTGTTTCATCTCACAATATTATGTGGAAATGCAAAATAATTGAACTTACATAAATCTAAAAATTAAAAACCTAAAAATCTAAATATATAAGCGTTAAGCCTCAAACAGATGTAATTGTTGTTTTAACGATAGTGCTGTATAATAACTTGTACTTGATTCAAAGAAAAAATGCCCTGTTATATACAGAGAGTGTGTAATATTTCTAAAGACTACAGAAAACCTTATTCTCGTGAATAATGCATATTCAAAGTTCTCATCGATCACTGTATTGTTATTTTTTGTGTTTATTATCAGAGACAAATACTCGGAGCATGAAAGAACCAGGTAAAATACTCTACTTGTAAGGTGTTGTAAGTCCTAACTTAGTCACGTTATTTTGTATTTGTTTGGTGACGTTCATAAAATTCTGCATTGAAGCCAGTGTTAAAAGGCGACACTAAACAAGCAACTCAAATAAATCAAATATAAAGATTTGTTCTAACAAACACATCTTTCTTTTTTGTTTAATTTATACACAAGTTTTGTAAAATATCTACTGTTAATTTAAATCAAAATATTATACTAGTGACTACAGATGTACCAAATAATAAAATATTATAGTAGTGCCTACAGATATGTCAATTAATAAAATATATTATACTAGTGCCTACGGACATGTCAGCAAATAAAATATATTATACTAGTGCCTACGGATATGTCAGCAAATAGAATATATTATACTAGTATCTACGGATATGTCAGAAAATAAAATATATTACGCTAGTGCCTACGGATATGTCAGCAAATAAAGTATATTATAGTAGTGACTACGGATATATCAAATAATAAAATATATTATATTAGTGCTTACGGATATGTCAGCTAATAAAATATTATACTAGTAGTTACAGATATACCAGCTAATAAAATATATTATACTAGTGCCTACAAGTAAACCAATTAACAAAATATTATACTAGTGCATGCAAATGAACCAGATAACAAAATATTATACAAATGAATACAGTTAAACCAACTAATAAAATACTATAGTAGTGCCTACAGATATGACAGCAAATAAAATATATTATACAAGCGCCTACATATAAACTACATATTAATATATTATACTATTAGCTACAGATCTATCAGCTAATAAAATATTATACTATTAGCTACAGATATATCAGCTAATAAAATATTATACTATTAGCTACAGATATACCAGCTAATAAAATATTATACTACTAGCTACAGATATACCAGCTAATAGAATATTATACTAGTAGCTACAGATATACCAACTAATAAAATTTATTATACTAGTTCCTACAAATGCAGCTAATAAAATAGTATACTAGTGCGTACATATATATATATCAGGTAACATAAGGGTGGTATTTACCATCAGTTGGGAACTAATATTTGTGCTGTAACAAAAGTCACGAAAATATATGTTTTTTTTTTTATATAAATAATGATATTCTTGCTTACTTTCAACCTTAGACTTAGAGCAAAACTAGGTGTAGTTTATTAATTATTTAAAGATGATTTTATCAAATTTCATGTTTTTGTTTAATATTATAAAGCTAACTAGTAACGTTACTGTTTTCATAACTCACAATTGTAAATCGCGGATTTAAGCAACTCAGGTATGAGAACGAGTGTTAGATAAGGCTCCTTGTTTATCTTTTGATTAACCAATAGAATGTTTCACGTTTATTCTAAGGCACAGGTTGTTTTAGTTAAAATATACTATCCTACAGAAACAAGACAATTATATTTAAATACATATTACTAATACAGCTATTTGGCTAGATGCGTCAATAAAACTTCGCTGGGATGCAAATGGAGTAAGCAGTTTTGGAATAGAGACAGGTTTCTCGTCTAGTGGGCATGCCGTTATCTTTATCGGACCACAGACTCATAACATACAATGCTTATAAAAATACGTCATAAACAAATCCTGTGTGGGCTATTCGATTACTCAAACCGAAGTGATATGTTTAGAATTCAGTATAGTCACACAGTTAAAATAGCGTTATATTTTGGTTGTAGAAGCAAGTTAGATAATTCAAACCGATATTCCTGTTGAGAAATCTCTACCAGTTTACTCAATACGAAAACAATAAAGTAGTTAAAGTAATTTTAAATTGTAATAGTGATTACAAGTGCCTAATGAGTTTCTTTCTTATAACAGGGAGATGAAGAATAATAGTAATCTAAGCGCAATAAAACAAAATTGGAGGTTCTACAGAGTAGTAGGTTCTTAATAATTTTGTAAAATATAACAATTCGGTACTCCCTCGGCATAATAACTTATTTATACAAAATGTGCACTTTATTCACATACTTCTAAGAACACAACTTGGAATTTTTATCTTTAAAGTGGAATGCCCAGAAAACAATGGGCTATTTAATAAAAAGCTTGATTATCTTTTCTTCCCAAAGAACCTGTTTACGTTTATTTTAATGAAGAAACTATGAAAGTGTCTATTTCATTCCTAGAATTTATGGGATGGGAACGAAGGCAGGCAGATTCTAGTCATATGATTCTACAGAAATGTGAGATAGGTTATCTGTCTTATTTTACCTGAAATACTTATTATAATGGCACTCAGTACGCATATAAGACTCTTGTCCATGGCCTTTTACATACATTTTGAAACTTTCTGTTTTCACTTGAAATAATTCTATTTAAGTACTCTACCACGTTTAGCATTTCCCGGCCAATTACACAAAATTGTATTCACTTTTCATCAAAATAATGCTACTGTTTTAAGTTCTTTCTTTTCTATAATCTTTTAGATCTTAATGATTATTACATCTTCTGGATAATAAGTATATTTGTAGCCCTCTCCTTTGTAAGTAGCCCCACCATTGATATGACCTTAGAATTATAAATAGAATACAGCAGTTACATAATCATATCAATGCACTTGTTGTTATATCTACTCATCTCCAGATACTCAGTTTTCGAAATGAGAACCGCTTGAGTTTAGCAACAGTCGACGAATTTCTTTTTATTTCGTTCTCAGCATCTTGTTCTCCTTCGCTGTGTACAGTCCTGAGGGGAAGGTTCTGGTCCCTGGTCAGTGTCCCTGAAGAAGATTAAATGTCATTAGTAACTTCTACTGTTTATATATATTTTTAAATAGCATTTTATATTACCAAGCAATTAGGTTTCATCCGAAACGTTTATGTAGCACTAATGAAATGTTTATAAAATAACTAGCTAAGACATACTACATTGTAAATCATAACGAATGATAAAACTTTTGTAAAATTCCTGCTACAACTATAGTCAGATTTCGTGTAATGAAGTCAGAAAATAGTAAAATCTATGTATAAACTGTGAAAAATTGGATTTATGAAATGAAGATTTTTTGTGTTTTTGTTTTAAGAGCGAAAAAGCTATTATTGAGACCTTATATCTGTTTGCAAACAAATTAAGTAGGAAAAACTAAGCCTAAAGTAGTTCTCATTGTTTATAATTTGTACATGTGTTAAGCCCTCAAACTACTGACGTGTTTTTATATCATTCACTACCGTTAGGGTCCACATATTGCATCACAGTGAAGTTTACGTTTTTGCCTGTAACGACATTCAAGTATAAATAAGTTACCAAAAGAATTGGGAGAAATCACTCATTTTCTATACGCAAGAAAAACCAGTAATAATTCGTGGAATTAATTATAGTATTGACGATTCTTTCGTTTAAATTGTATTTTGTGACTCATGCTAATCTATTTGTGCACAAAATTTCTTGTGGATTACTAACTCTGTTTGTTACGGTGTTGTGGATTACTAACTCTGTTTGTTACGGTATTCATAATAACACATGAGTCACAAAATACAATTTAAACGAAAGAATCGTCAATACTATAATTAATTCCACGAATTATTACTGGTTTTTCTTGCGTATAGAAAATGAGTATTAATAATAACATATATATAGACGTTGATATGTAAAAATAGTGTTCCATATTTAAATATATTAACTGGAAACTAATTAATACATTTGTGTAATGTTTATTAGTTCAGTAAACTACATTAGCTTAAAATATTGTTTAATTCTAAAATTATCTATGAGGATCAATATGTTAATTTACATAATAGAATAAATTACTCTTTATACTAATGTAAAAATTTTGCTCACTTGGCTGCTACTAAGTTATAAAATTAGGTTTATCATCTTTTCATTTACTTTAACCCGAGGATTACATTTTTATGTGTTCCACAAAGAAATACCTTTCAATCTCAATGAGTTCTATATATATATATATGTGTTCCACAAAGAAATACCTTTCAATCTCAATGAGTTCTATATATATGTGTTCCACAAAGAAATATCTTTCAATCTCAATGAGTTCTATATATATGTGTTCCACAAAGAAATACCTTTCAATCTCAATGAGTTCTATATATATGTGTTCCACAAAGAAATACCTTTCAATCTCAATGAGTTCTATATATATGTGTTCCACAAAGAAATACCTGCAATCTCAATGAGTTCTATATATATGTGTTCCACAAAGAAATACCTTTCAATCTCAATGAGTTTCTTAGTTTTCGTATCCGGTCAAATCCCCCCAATTTCGTGTCTCTTCTATTGTCTAGTTCCAGAAACACCTAAAAAAATTAAAATCCATTTTAAAATCTCCAAACTTAATATTACGTATACAATTTGCTGCCAGGTACTACTTGTATTTTAATTTACTAATCTTAATTAGTCAAAGTTTTTAATTACCATTTAGACAAACAGGTGCTTTTGTGTGGTGTTTAACGTCTAAGCTCGAAACAAAGGAAAATGATTGAAATCACGCTTGTTATTTCTATCCGTTTTAATTAGTCCCTTATGGATCTGAAATTACAGGTGTTTGAGATAAGCATTTCAGATCTATATTATTGTATTGCAGGTTACAGCTTTTACAGTAAGAAAGAATATATTTAAAACAGGTACGACGTTTTAGTCATTGATGCGATCATTCTCAAGAACATAAGCACTAACAGTAAAGAAGATTTAAATAATTAAATCAACATTCAACATTCTAAAATGTGAATACATTATTAGATATATTAAAACCTTCTTTATCGTTAATACTTGAGAATGATCGCGCCTGTGATCAAGACGTCGTACCTGTTTTGAAAATATTCTTCCTTACTATAAAAGTTACAACTTGTGATGAAATAATATTTATAATCAGTAAGTAAACTCAAAACGAAAGTATTTATTTCCGATCTATATTTTGTCTGTAACAAGTCACTCTCCAGTAAGAATTTTGTTCAATAACAGAATTTGTCAGCTGGGCGGACCTAAGGCAACTAAACATATATCCGAAATGCTATGTGGAGTACAAGAGAGCACAGTAAGTTGTAACCTTAAAGTATACTATGCATGAAACCTTTGTTGATAAGGGATTGCTAACAATACCGTTAAAAACAAAGTGCTTGTGTTACAAGCAAAACCTGGAAGACCAAAAAATCTGCTCGAAGAGGTTAACAAAAGATGTTGCAAGAAGCAAATTGTAGAGAACATGAAAAACCTTCTTCTACCAAAAACCTGGCCTACAAGGAGGGTAAAGCTTAACTTTCGTTATGGAGGAGAGTTGCCACTGTTGTTGTAAACAGTATACAAACACTGTACTATTTCAAAACAACACAATTTTTTTTCCCCAAACACAGACTTGTATGAATTATAATACAAATGATTGTTGTAACTATATGAATACATTATCCATTACAACCTAATCACTATATGAATACATTATCCATTACAACTTAATCACTATATGAATACATTATCCATTACAACTTAATCACTATATAAATACATTATCCATTACAACTTAATCACTATATAAATACATTATCCATTACAACTTAATCACTATATAAATACATTATCCATTACAACTTAATCACTATATAAATACATTATCAAATACAATCTAATCACTATATATATCCATTATCCATTATAATCTAATCACTATATAAATACATTATCCATTACAAACTAATCGCTATATAAATACATTATCCATTACAATATAATTACTATAAAACAGGACAATTGAACCAGGCGTACCTCTTTCCTTTCTTTCAGTTCCAGCCAACCTTTAGCTTTCCAACGCGACTGGGTTCTGTAAATGTTTTCTTCGTCGTCGATAACACGAGTTTCTTTCTGCACACCCTGACGTCGAGAATTACCAGAAGGTGTCGCTTCAGTCACATAGGGATATTCGACCTCTTCGACCAAGACGAAACTTGAAGGATTTTCCATACGATGTGCCTTAACAAGAGCCTATACGGTTCAAAGAGTAACTAAGTGAGAAACACCATAGAAGAAAACTATTCAAGTTAAGATTGTTCTTCAAAACAATAAACTCGTAGATAAAAGGCTAAACAAAGCTAAGATAACGCTTAAACAGTTTCCTAATTTATATTTCATTGAATGAGAAACTTACAAATCTCTGTCTGGATTGTGATATCTTGTGTTCAGCTAGTCTGAGATACAACTTACTATGTCTGGATGACTAAACTTCTGATGCTAAGTGAAATACCTATCAATCTGTGCCAGAACTATGAAGTTTTGTTTTAAGTTAGTTACAGTATTAAATTAACATGTTCAGATGGCTAAATCTCTGTTGTTGGATGAAAGATTTACCACTATGTATGAGGGCTATGATATGTGTGTTAAGCTAGTTACAGGAATAAGTCGATTTTTTCAGGTGACTAAATCCCAAGCGTTGGACAAAAGAACTGTATTTCTGTACCTGGACTATGATGTCATTTGTTAAGCTGGTTTAAATAATAGGATACTCTGAAGAGATGATTCAACTTCTAGTGTCGGGTGAGAGACCACTAGGGCAACATTGTTCTGTGTTAAGTTAGCTTTGATAGTAATTTACCATGTTCACACGTCTACTAAACCTAATGTCGGGTGAAAGACATGCCGATCTGTACCTGGGCTATGATGTCCTGTGCTGTACTTGTTACAGGAGCTCTGAGAATTGCGTACGGCTGGTCCGGTGAAACATTATACACACAAACTAAGAACGTCTCCTCCTCTCCCCCCCAGTCCTGAAGCTCATCACAGCTCGTCTCACTTTCTTGACGTCTCTGGAGCTACGACATGCAAAGATAAAGATTTGTTACATTTGACCAAAAGTCTATGATAACATAGAAGTTATCTCATGTTTTATATGCGCAATAAACATATGTATAAATACACAATGTGTGAACTTATCTTACCACTTCCTTACACGATGTGCTACGTATTGTCGTAACCCACGCCCTGGTGCTCGGATCCTGTTAATATAAAATAAACCATAAATTACTAAAATTTAATAAAACGTCTTAATAAAGACATTTTAACCGGCCTTCTAATGTACTTTATCATTCGCCACAATGCGATGTAAATTGTTAATGTCCCACTGATTCTGTGCATTTTGAAAACAAAGTATTGAAGTTTAGAAACAAATCTATACAAGACAGCTACTATACAGGGTTATTATCATGTTTTCTTACAAAACAGTGTTTGAAGTTCTATTGTAAGGAAGAGTTGTAATATGAGAAAAACAAATATAGAGTATAAAGCTGATGATAAATTACTAAGAAAGCAAGCAACTTAGAATATAAGACTTTCAGTACGCTTTGAAAATTATCAGTAAAAAAGCGCTTTTCTTAAAACACAGTTCTAATTCATATGGCATCACAGCTACAGATTTATAGATCTCTTTTTTTGTTCTCCTATTCTTAGACAAATCAAACTATGTTTCTATGAGAGAAACAAACATAATTGAATTGTGTGCTTTCAATCTTTGGATATTAAATGACGGTGTATAAGTTAATGGTCTTCTAAAGGTTTAGAAATAACATTTTCATGAAATTTCATTAAAACTGTATCATATATTGTGGTTTAAAATAAGTGGTATCGCCTCTGTTACGGTTGATACACTCAACAATAAAATCCATTGAAGAAGGCACAAGTTCATTTCAGAATGTTTTACAAACATGCCCATTCTTTCTTTATTTTGTTTTGAGATCTGAGAATTTTCATTTGCTGTAGAACATGTTTATTGAACTTACAGTTCCTAGCTTCTTGAGAATAAATTTGCCTTCTCCTTGCCAATGAGCTTGAGCCTCGATAGGCCTCTCTTCAGGGTCTAAAAACCGTTGTAATGGTGCCTTCTCAGATCTACGTCTGTCCCATCCACGCTGAACCTCTTCTATTAGAACGTATTCATCGACTGATTCGTTAGCTTTGTTACCTTTAAGGAGTGCCTGAAATTATTTACAAAAACTGTAATTACCTGTGTGAAATCGTTGGTTAACTTATCGTTTCTTCTTAGCAGTTACAATTAGATAATATAGTATCAGAAGTGATCAGTTTAATAGATACAACTATGATTGTTGTTATTTCATACATATCTTTAGATTCAAAAATAAAGTAAATAAAGTATCATATCTTAAAGTTGTTTATCTACTGAATGACCTGTGTAGATATAAACTTTACGCTTTTATTATTAGATCAACAAAGTAACATTACTAATACTCGAATCTCGTGAGATAAAATTGGAATTATGGCCCAAAATACCGTTAACAGCGAGAGTAGGCAACTAATAATTCAATGCAACCTGATCATTGTAGATTTTAGTTTTTTAGTTGCCTTTTTATTAACTTGTTGAGAACTTCTCGTCAATATGTTAACCAAATTGTCTTCATTAACGAATATACGTTGCTTTTAAATTGTTTTTAGTTCTGATCTACATTATTAACTCACTTTTGATCAAAAATTCTTAATGATAAGCAAATTAATACTTGATAAACCTCAAATACAAGATGAAATTCATTAATATTACTTTTATAACTGACGCGTTTTATATACTGAGAGGTTTGTTGAACGTTAAACACAACACAACGCAATGGGCTATCTGTGCTCTGCCCAACACGGGTATCGAAACTCGGATTCTAGCGTTGTAAGTCCGTAGACATACCGCTGTCCCACTGGAGGGACATATATAGAGATACCTATTTCAATACTAGCAACGTATCCTAAGCATTTCATCTGCAGCATCCTTTATATCTGAAGTAAATAACTTAAGATACTGTGTTTTTTGGCACCTTATGAGACACAAGAGCTTAATGGTCGGATCAGATACTTCTAGAGTTCGGATGTAGCCATTCCCCATTTTGAGGTACCAGACAGAGTAAAGCTAGTCAGCAACATCTGCCACCACAGGTCTTTGTAAAGCTTTATGAACTGAATAACGGGCTATTATTCTTATAACGCCTAAAGTGCAAGTCGTATCCAATAACATTTTAGGCCGAACCTAGGACCTGACGACACGTAGCTAGCACGCTAAATAATAAGAAATGCATGACATGCGTGACTGAAATAACTCATCTACAGTGATATTTACCCAAAACTTTAAAACGGAAGTAGTCTTTCTGCAGAACAAGTGCAGGCACACAAACTGTACACACGAGATAAGCAAGATACACAACAAAATGATGTACCTGGGAAATGACATCTCTAGTGGTACTGTCCTGTGTGACTTTCAAAATGGTGCTCGATTCTTCTGGAACGACTCCATAGATCATGAGGAAAAATGTCTTTCTTTTCGAAGGAACTCCTCCAACAGATGCAACCTGATAAATGACAAAACGAGACTCGCACTTTTACTTCTAATAATTAAGACAATAGAAAATAAATTTTAATCTCATTAACCTGGCAATAGATTCTACTACGTTTTTATGATAACATGCTTTACTCTGTTAATATGGAAATAGGCATTACCACGTCACTGTTGGGTGAAAAGCTCTACCACACTGTTATATAAACAAGATCTGAGAAATCCTTTCGGTAACAGATGCGACTATGTTATCAAGATACTAGAATCTACCAAACTTTTATATTAGATCATATCTGATTGTCAAATCTCTAAAGCTAGAAATATAAAACAGTGAACTGATGGACACTGCTAAGTGAAAAGAGAATACGCACAATAACAGCTAAATGAAACGTTTTTTGATAATATTGATTGTAATTCTTTCTTTTTCCCTTACTCCTTTACTGATTAATATGCATCATACATAATTACGTTCACTATTACAGAGAAATAATTTGAAGAGCTTTATAACTATCTATAGCTGAAATTCCTATAAGATATCTTTACATCATGCTTTGATATCTCCACAGTAGTTCCGTCTTTTTGTTTCGTTTTCGCTCTTCTTCCCTGACTCGTTGTTTCCAGAGTTTCATCGTTTCGCTGTGGTAGTTCTAAGCCTTCCTCTTCTGACTTAGAGTAAATGAATAGCGTTGAAAGTGGTAAAGGCTGGTTCTGAGGGTTCCGTAGACGGATATGACGGTATCCTGAAAAGCATTAGATAACTACACAAAGAAGTCTTCTAATGCGAAAAATATTTTATTAAATATCTTTTATCATATAAAATATGGCTTAAGAGCTGAAATCGAATTTTTTAAAATATATTTTACTGCATTCATTTCACGAATTTCTAAGGTGATTAAACTCAATACGTTATTGCTAACGATTACATTTTAACTGTTCGTAGTAAGACATAAGAATGTAGTTCATTATATAAACCATAGTTTTTATGTACGTTCAGTTTAGTATTTCTTATGGACTTGTTGTTGTTGATCTGGGGGATCAATGGAGTAAGTGCTAAGATCAAAGTCAACAGGCAAGAAAGTATGTGAAATACATCATGACAAAACAGATATGGAACCAATTACGGTGGTGCAACTATCGGATTTTTCATAAAGTGTTATCCATCAAGAAAAACTAAAATTCATCAGGGCTATCAAATTCACTACGACAAAACCTTTATTAGAATTAAGAAGACAAAAATACAATGAGATTCATTATGACAGATTCTGCATAACATTCATTAAGACAAAACAACAAAAAAAAACAAGATTAGGATGATACAACCTCCAGCGGACTCATCATATTTAGGATATTTGATATAGAAACCCCTTATCGGGAAGCGCAAAATTCTGACTGACTAACAGTAAAAACAATTCTTGTTAATAGCTTTGAAAGCAATATTATAACCTACTGCACTTTTTCATTGTATGACTGGGATCTGTACAGATGTTTCTGTAATGACAATTAATCTGCTTTTGTTTAATTGTTGAATTATTGAATATATGCCACCAGTAATGCTGCAAAGCGAGACGGATATTTCATCATTTACAACACAAGGCTTTATCATTCAATTTCGTTATACTTACTCTACAGAGGAACATAACGATATTTTCACTAACTAAACAATGCTTTAAGTTAAAACATATCCTATTAATATGGCGAGTAAACAATCATATTGTCTTAGAAGTGCGTGATATCAAGTTTCTCGTAAACTTTTAAAATGAACTAAACCACCCAAGACTAAGTATTAACTGATGTTGTAGTTCCCATGGTTATTAGTTTGTTAAACTCGAAGCTTTAACTGTAGTCTCCGAGGAAGAAGAAATGTTAAAAGGGGTTTCAATATTTAAGCTTTCTTTGTCTGTTCTCGTTGTAATGTGAACACTTATAAACCCATTAAATACCTGGTACACTGTGTTCGAAGCTTCCGTAGCTTCCAATGCTATTAAGATATTAATTACTTCATAAAACTTGTTTTTGTCAGAATTTCGCGCAACGCTGCATAAGAGCAATCTATACTAATTTTGAACAGACAGACTATAGTGAAGGCAATAAGTTTAGTGCAGTGATTTTCTGTTAGTCTAGCTTCATTATAAGTTTATTTTTATTTTATCTTTGTAATTATTTTAAGTCAGGATTTAATTGTACCAACCCAGAGGGACTTGTGACTGAAATATAGAATACAAGCACCTAGTTAGTAACAAAAAAAAAAAAACAGCTTAACTTCGAAACTACCTCTTACATAAAAACTCTTTCTTATTGATCAATACGCAATACTTTAACCATGATAACCAGAAGCTGTTATTTGTTTAGCAACCCTCTTACAAAGATGCACTAGTATTAATCTGTTCAGAAAATGGAGAGTAGAACAGTTTATATATATTACAATTCCTAAAAATTAATAATTAAAAATGTTGCTTTTAGATTGAAAAATATCTTATTATTGTTTGAATTTTAGAAACTTTATGATAAAAAGTTGGGTCAAGTAGTCGAAACAGTTTGCCAGCAAGATGTAGTATGTACCATAAAAGTGTATTCGTTTTCAAATAGCTCTACAGAGGACAGCACCAGCAATGTGGTAATAAACCAAAACCGTTATTCTGAGTTTACTGAAGTTAAGATTTGTTTGGTTCATTTGCTTATTTGTTGTTAACCACGAAGATACACGATGGACTATCTGGGCTGTGTCCACTACGGATATCGAATCCAGGTTTTTAGTGTTGTAAACCTCCAGGCTTACCGCCGAGCAACTGGGGAGCTGACGTGAAGGAGATGTCATCACAAACTTAACCCTGTATGTCATTTCCCATAGGCTTGCAAAATGTCCACACAATTTTTGGTTTGGTTTATTTCGGATATTCGTGCAAAGGGCTATATTCGTTATTCATCCCTAACTCTGATTAATTAGAGGGAAAGCAGCTAGTGAGCAGCATCCCCTGCCAACCCTTCACTAGTCTAATCGAATAGCGGGATTTGAACGTCACTTTTACAAGACTCCAATTTGCGGAGCACGATTTTTCTTTCTTTCTGTGGATCCGAGGATCCACAGTCTGGCAGGCTAACCAGACTTAAAATAAATCTATCCCAAAGTCATTTCGAGTTCTATATGCAATGTTTTTTCGCTATGTTTGCAGAATGTGCTTAAACAGTAAAATGCATTAAAATAACATACAAATTGACTGCAGCAAAATTGTTTTAATTACATTTATTTAAAATGTTTCAGAATAAATAAAAACACGTAAATAACACCTAAGAGTTTCATTTATTATTCTTACCTTGTCTGAGACATTTGAGTGGAAGAACTCTTTGTGCTGTAATGTGACTTGTACTCATATCAAAAACCGAAAAGCGAAGAAATGCCAGGTCCCTAAATGTCACCTATAATGTAAGAATTGGAAATGTTAATTTTGAGGAAGAAATATGTTGAAGCTTAAAAAAGCGAAACAGTATTTCTACAGACAATACTACTACTACTGTAATATGTATTGTTCAGCTTTAAACATACCAATGTCAAATGAGAGATGTTCTGTTTGATATTGACCACTAAATTCAATAAAAATGTGAAGCACGATACATCCCTTAATAAATAGATAACAAAAGATACGATTCGAATATTTTTACCAAATTTAATATTCAATCAATGGTCAATCACTTATCCCCCTTAATACAGTAACAAAACAATATCTTACTTTGACCAGATAGGCTATAAGGAAGGCAGCTAATCAACAACACCCACTTCCAACTCTTAAGTTACTCTTGTCTGACCATGGGCGCCCACAGAAGTATTTTCGTGGAAGGGGGGCAAAATACGTATGTAGGTGATCAGCTTTTACAGTATAAATCAATAGGCTAAAAGGATATGTGTGCTTAAACGCAAACATAAATTTACAATTTTAATAAAAATTACTGAACATATTTAGTTTAACTACGATGTTAAGTTTGCATCATAATACGTGTAATTTTTTGTGAAATGTAAGAGGGGAAAATGGACCCTCTTACCCTTTTTCTGTGGGCGCCCATGTGTCTGACAGAATACTTGGATTTGACTGTCATTCTTATAGCAGAGCGCGTTTTTGCATTTAGGGGAAGAAAGCCACGAACCTTTTGATTCACAGTTTGAATATGCTTAATCTACCAATTTATAAATCTCTTTAACAGTTGGTTTAATGTCAATATGCAGTCAACATTGAATAATGCTTCTGCGCTTTCTGAATTTCTGAATGTTAGAAAGAGTGACAAGTTTACGCATTCACATAAGTAAGACAATATATAGTTTCATAGCAGTTTTACTCAATGATCCTTAATGTATTTTAACTTGTGCATTAACATTAGATTCATTACTAAAAAGAAGAAAAAAAGTCATACATAAAAACAAACTGAACCGTTCTGGTCAACTATATAATTTGAAAAATTACAATTAGTTTTAATTCGGAAAAAATAACAAATAACGTTATCCTCCATCCCACAAAACAAGACGAGAAAGATGTTTACAAAGCTTAACTTAAAACCAAAAATAATTTAGAATAGTTAGAGATACAGTTTTTTTGCTTTTAATAATTCTAGGATAACTTAATACAAAAAAATAAATTTGAAATATGTTGCAAACGCGTTTTTCAAAGAGGACTTTGTAACTCGAACAAAGTATATTTTATATAAACCACTTAATTTTCCACCCAGAAATGTATAAACAAAAACAAATTGTCTAAATAGCTTAAAAGTAAAATTTCCAAATTTGAAGTTTCTATTTGTCACGAACAGTGTAATTCACATTATAATAGGGCGTATGTATAATTGGTTTTTAAAACCTAATATTAAGAGTAAATATCATCACACTGAAAGAGGAACTTTTCTAAAGTTTACGTTTCAAATTAATATCACTCAAAGTCCATCACTTCCGAATGGTGAAATTAACAATACGATAATCTAATTTTAATTTTGACATTATGCGCATATGCATATCATGATGCGAGTGTAAACATAAACTTCATATAAATATATATTATGTGCACATTATGACGAGAGTGAACGGTAAATTCATAGCTACGTTTCGTATTTAACGCTCTTGAACAAATAATATACTTAAAGTTTATTTCTAGTTAAACTTCTGTTCGCTGTAGATTGCCAACTGTTTTGCATGCAGAATTACACATATTGTTGTTTTTCGTTTTAAAATAAACCTAACATTCCACTCTCTCTCTCTCCAGTTGCTATTTTTTCTTTATACGACTGCCAAAAATGTTTAGAGGCACGTGCAACGAACTTAACTAAAACATGTCCGCATACTCGTTTATGTTTGTGATCAATGAAAACATTTTTCGTTGATGAATAGCAGCTTAGCATCTTGCGAGTAGAGCAAACAACCAATTTCTGCATTTTACAAATAGTTTCATGTGAAAACAGGGCTTAGACTTGAGCATTCGTCATGCGTGCGACACACTTACTGTTAAATGCACCTTCTAAGAAACATAACAATTCAGATAATGAAAAATGAAATAAACATACTGGACGTAGAAATAATTACATCGTGTTATATTCAATAATTCATCAAGCGACATTTTTTGTTAACCATATTTTTTTAACTATGAAGAGGTAAAATAGGAAGATAATATGTCTACAAATGTTGCTATGCTGAAGGTTTATGAAATTCAGAAAATAATATATCACACAATTATAGAAAATTCTAAAGAAAGGTTGAGAGCGAATTCAAGGTAGAACCAATGAAATTAATTCGAGTTCATATTTCTCGACGGTAGAACACATCAAGATAAACATATCTATATCTAGGTTAATCACTCAGGTTTAGTCAGAAAGTGTTGTAAGTGCAGTTGAATTTATTATAAATTTTGGTCAAAATAGTCGGGTTACAGATGTGAATGTTATGGTAAATACCTTAGACTGAATCATCAGTATTATCCTTTTTGCTAAAGATATTCCAAACATAATTTCAAATCCTCCTACCAACTTCAAGAATATGTTTAGAAGTATGAGCAGTTAAATTTATTACAAAACAAATATCCAAGGATAAAAGTATTTACTAAGTTCAATGGATAATACACGGGTAATTTCAAGCCTGAAATATATATATAACACGTACATGATTCTAAAGACTGAAACAATGTTTATAGAGATATGTCGAGACGAATTCATAATACATGATATACATTTAGAGATGTGTTTGTTTGTTTATTTGGATGGAGGACTGAAGCTTTTGGTCTCTGATTTACTTCTTAGATTATGGTGATCTTTATTATTACACGTAAAAACTTATACTCGAGAGTTTTTTAGTTTCTCTTGAACCAGATTAGTGCTCATTAGTTTCTCTTGAACTAGATTAGTGCTCATTAGTTTCTCTTGAACTAGATTAGTGCTCACCTTGAATACAAAAGTATTGCCCCATATAGGGTTTAGCGCGTTCCTCTGGACCAACTTCGTCTTTAGTCTACTTCCATCAACAGGTATGCCTATTATCTCAACTTCCACCAGGGGGCTGCCGGTGTAACTGTTAGGGCAAACATATTGCCCAGAGATCACCTAATAGTGCATAAAACTAGATTAAAATAAAAGATAAAATATATACGTAGTGTTTGTTTATTTATTGTTCAGTCTAAAGATGCACACTGGGCTTTCGATCGAACTTCCAATTTTAGTGCTTTAAAACCTGAAGCTTAGTTCTGAGCCACTGAGGAGGCAACTTGTGTGGTTAATGAAACAAAGATACTTAATGACAGATTCCAGTCTATTTTTTTGTTCTGGATGATGATATTTATGCAGCAGCAATATTAAACGTTTAAGTCGATTATCAAACATAGTTTTAAAATGTTAAACACCTGCAAACTTTAACACAAAGTGAAACTTAAACGCCTATGAGAAACAAATACGACAATACAGTTTATATAGCCTCAGCTCTTATGTAAACCTAGAAACAAAATATAAGACAAAGTGTTGAAATTTTGAGTAAGAACTATTTCGAATTTTTATCCTTCATGGGTTTTAACCATAGTGCAATTGTGTGGTTATTAAATGTGTATAGGAAGCTATTTAAAAAAAGAAAGTAGAACCGGAAAACAAAACATATTCCTTTCGGAACATTATTTGTAACTGCGAAAAAAAAAAACACACAAAAGTTATAAAATATTGTTTTTATATAAAAACATGGTTATTCTTACAAAAGGACAGTATGTTTATTTAAGGAACACTTTAGAAACTCTGTACAAGTCTGACACCAAACCTAAGAAAACACTGTGTTTCGAATAAATGTTAAACGTCACTGTACTGAAGTACGTCGGGTAAAATCATATGTCAAATTGAGGAGAAAACTAATATATAATAGTTTCCACAGATGGAGCTCAAGACACGAGTAAAACGTATGCAACAAATGTAATTTTAGCTGTTGTTTTACTTATAATTTAACAATTACAAGAAAACCTTGTATGTTGTTCGTCTTTGTCACTTAGAAACAAATTACAGCTTTGTTACCTACAGTTATCATGAAACTGGTTGTGTGGAGACCGTCAAATTCTTTATCCCAGGGATTAAACCGTCCATACATCACGTGAGACCGGTCCCACAAAACGGGCGGTTTAAGGACGTATCCACTTCGTCCGTTTTGTTCGAACATGGCCGTGTTTACATGAAGTGCAGAATCTACAAGGTAGAAAACATAACTTTTGTTATAACACGTGGATTCTACGTGCTAAAGCGATTTATTTTACAAACTCTTATAATTAATCACAAGATCTCCATGTTCACAATATAAACACTTGGAAAAAAGTTAAGCACCCCCAAATATTTTTCAGGATTGC